GGGGGGGGGGGGGGTTGTTTTTTGTCATCTGGACAAGTCTTGATTTAAATTATGGGGATAGTAGGAAAATTTCTGTTGTGGTGATAGTGCCTTAACATTTCTTAGTTTCCCTTTCTGAGACATCGTATGGTTGTCATTTTATTAGTCTCTGCAAACTTGGATTCTTGGCATTTGGTGATGTATTGTTAGGATCTTTCCATTTCCTTGACGTGCGTACCTTCTGAAACGTGAAAAAAAAACGTGGCTGATATGTTACATTCTGACAAGGTCCTTGCGAGAGCATTTCACTAACTTGTTTAGGAGCAAGAAGCAACACAGGTCATCATCGTGTTTTGAAAATTAGTTTACAGGAAAAGAAAAATTCAGGTTCAAGGAAGAAAGAATAGGAAAGGAAGTGACTCATAAAGTACAAACGTTTTCAAAGAGTCCCAAAATAAGAGACATAACAAAGATATGAAAAAATAAGCGGAAATAGCAAGAAGACTCTCGGGGGGATTTATAGGACTTTTGAACACTTAAAGCAATTTATAAGACAAAAGTGTTAAGATTGGTGAAAAAAGGACACTTTCATTGTAAGTATTTAATATTTATAATTAGGTTTAAAAAAAATTCCAAACTTTTACAATTATCACAACCGCCCAAATGGGTCCCACACTCTAAAAAAAAAGGAAACCCTCCCCAGCTCCCATTCCCGCTTCCAGCCCCCATTCCTTGTTCTAATTCACCAAAACCTACATTTTTCCTCTTGTTCTTCTTCTTTTTCTTGGTCTTCTTTCTTCTGTTGTGTTCAATCTCTTCTGCTTTCTTTAATCCCGACATTATTTTTTCACAGATCTTTGTCTTTGAGGTTCTTGTTCTTTGTTGAGAAAGATTGGTGAAAAAAGAACAAGAACAATTGGAGATTGACCCTTGCACCATTGAGAAACACTTGATCGTGATTTGCTAAATTGACTTGTGCATTATTTCAAGGGAGATATTCACTCTATTCATCACTGTTGGTAAGTAAAGATTGGTATTTAATCTTATTTTTTTCGTCTGTAGATATTCCGTTTTCTGTGATTCTTTAAACATTCGGTGAGGTGTTTCAAACATCCGGTGAGATGTTTAAAACATCCTGATATAATTGTAGGTAGTTGTTTCAAACATCTTGAAAGTCCATTCTGGATGTTTCAAACATCCTCTCAGGATATTTCAAACATCTTAAGTATATTCTCAAGATGTTTTAAACATCTTCTTAGAAAGTTTGAAACATCATTAGGATGTTTGCAAAAAAGTTGATTCTTTATACCAATTATTTATATATTTGTGATATTGTCATGTATTCCATTACGAAATGGTTGATTATATTGTATTGGAAATTGATTGTCATGGTGAATGGGTGGAGTGCTCTACCCGTTTTACCTGGCGTTCGAAGAGTAAAGAGACGGTTCTAATAAAGGTATGTAGAGATGTTACGTATGATGAGTTTGTTGACAAGATTATTGTCGGTCATGAATTAACTTGTTATCCGAGTGATATCTCCATAACTTACATGCATAGCATTAGGGAAAAGCACAAGAAAGTAGCTCCCTTTAAAATAAAGAATTATGATAGTTTGAGCTATTATTTGGAAGATGAAAATAGGCTCATTCTAAGGTATTTGTGGTTGAAAGATTGGTAGAACTTACAAATTCAAATGGAATAACATGATAGCCATGGATTGGATGATATTGAAGAAGATCTTTTGAATATCGATATTCCAAAAATGGATCCTTTGAATATGGATATTCTAGAAACCGAAGAAGAAGAATATGCAAACTTTCCTGGAGTTGAAGGCAACTCACAAGAGATAGAACCAACAATACAAAGCAGCCACAATTATGAAGATGACACGAAGTTTTATAAGGGTTTAAGTTTCAAAAACAAGCGCGAGCTAGTTGTGTAATTAAAGCTTGCTTCCTTGAAGGCTCCTTTCCGTTTCAAATCAGTGAAGAGTACTAAATTTGTATACTGTGTCAAATGTGTAGACAACAATTGCAAGTGGTGGTTGCGAGCCATCAAATATATAAGTACTGATAGGTTTTATATTACGAGGTACAAGAATGAGCACACATACGGGTCACAACATCTAACAGATAAGCATCCACACGCCTCATCGGATGTCATTGGTGAATACATCCATTCTACGTTTGAAAAGGGCAGAGGTCCATCTAAGAAAAAAATTATGGAAACGGTTCATTTAGATTTGGGTTGTAATATTAGTTATTGGAAGTATATGAAAGGAGGTCATATTGCAAAGGCTATGGTAAGGGGGATTCCAGAGCACGGGTATGCAATTTTAGATATGTACCGATACACGTTTAGGAAGGCAAATGAAGGAAGCAAGACGACACTGAAGCTTGATAATTGTGGAAAGTTTCAATACTTTTTTGTAGCTTGGATTCAAGGGTTTTTGTTTATAAGGAAAGTCATAGCCGTTGATGGGACATTTTTGACGGGAAAGTATCGTGGAGTGTTATTGTCTGCCGTGGCACAGGATTCAGAGAACCATATTTTTCATGTGGCATTTTGTGTAGTAGACAAGGAGTGTGATGCCGCATATGAATATTTTTTTGAACAATTGTCCAGCATACACCCCGTCAGTGTTGAGTTGTGTATAGATCTCAAAATTTTACCCTCAGGCTCATCGCGGATTTTTCATGAGGCACCTTGCTGAAACTATTCGCAAATTTTTTTATTGTGGCGATTTGCTTCACCATTATTATTCTGCAGCTAAAGCATATAGGATTGATGAGTTCAATTATCATTTTCAACAAATCAAAGATAACAATGTAAGAGTTTCCAAATATCTTGAGGAGGATGTTGGGTTTCACAAATGGAGCAGAGCGCACTTCCCTGGTAACATGTACGTTAATGTGAACTCCATGGTAAAACATCTTTGAAGGTGTTCGAATCATTCCCTAAGATGTTTGACACATTTCTTAAGGTGTTTCAAACATCTTTTTAGATGTTGCAAACATCTCTTCAGATGTTTCATGCTTCATATGAAACAGGTTATTGAACTTCCCAGTTCAAACATCTTACGAGATGTTTCCAACATCCATAAAAATGTTCCCAACATCCATCTCTCGTGACGTTTGAAACATCTGCAAGATGTTTGAACCTTGTTGCTTATATTCCAGATTCTAAAAAAGTCTTATATATTATTATTTCAGGTATGAAGTATTGACCACAAATATTGCTGAGTCTGTTAACTCAATGTTTCTACTCGAAAGAGAATTCCCCATCACTGCCTTATTCGATGCTATTAAAAGGAGGTTTGCCCAAAAATTCCATGAGAGGCGTATATAGTTCCTCGACACTCCAACCATTTGTGTCCCTTCAGTTGAAAAGAAAATTAATAAAAATACAACTTTGGGCAACAAGCTATTGGTCCATCCAATAAGGCAACACATGTTCAGCATCACCGATCATGGTGCAGTTGCAAAGGTTGATCTACGCAACAGAACATGTTCTTGTAGAGAGTTCGACCTAGACAAAATACCTTGTCCACACTCTATGGCAGCCCTTAGAGTTGAGTTTGGTGCTCAATACATAACGAGCATTTATGACTATACTTCTGACTTTTATTATATAGGCACATACGTGACCACAGAAATTAATCTGGTGCCTTATGAAGAATGATGGGAGGTTCCTCCTGAGCTTGTTGAGGGAAAAATACCTCTACATTCATGAGAAATTCAACTGGGAAGAAGAAAGACAAAGCGGATTCCAGCAAGCGGGGAAATAAAAAAGAAGCAAAACAGATGCTCCATATGCAAAACGACTAGCCACAAAAGAACTACTTGCAAGAAGAGAACTGAAGGAACAAGCAACTCCATTGTGGCTTAATGACTTTGTTGTTGTACTTGTTTTGGTAATTTGACGTTAATGTTATTGGAGAACTAAATGATCTTTAGATTTGTATTAGCAATTACTGTATTTTTCAAACATCATTTAGTAGATGTTATTATGTACTTGTGTTCCTTTACACCTTCAAGTACCTTAATTTCTTCAAACATCTTGATAGATGTTTCAAATATCTTAAAGTAGTTTGATGTTGATGTTGATGCTATTATGTCCTTGTGTTTTTTCACCTTCAACTACCATCTAATTTCTTCAAATATCCTGATAGATATTTGAAACATCTAACGCAGATGTTTCAAACATATATTTGATATGGATTGTTATTAAATCTACAAGATCAATAGGTTGACGATCAATCATTTGAAGTATTCAATAGGTTAATATTTAATTTTTCATAAGGTTAATAGGTTGATTACAAATTATTAGACCTATTTACTATATCAATTTAATAGGTCGATGTATAATTATCCACAAGATCAATAAGTGGACGATCAATTATTCAAAGTATTAAATATGTTGATTGCAAGGTTAATAGGTTCACGATCAATTATTTGACGTATTCAATTTCTATGTTTAATTATCCACAAAATCAATAAGTTGACGATCAATTATTTGAAGTATTAAATAGGTTGATGTATAATTTCGTAAGGTCAATATGCTGACGATCAATTATTTGAAGTATTAAATTATTCTATGTTTAATTATTCATAAAGTCAATAGGTTGATAATAAATTATTTGAAGTATTCAATAGGTTGACGTATAATTATCCATAAGATCAATAGATTGACGATCGATCCTTTGAGTATTTAATTATTTCACGGTTAATTATTCACAAGATAATTAGGTTGACGATCAATTATTTGAAGTATTAAGTAGGTTGATGTTTAATGGTAGTTT